TCCTCCGTGCAGTCCCTGGCTAGCAGGGCCAATTTTTAGGTTAATTCTTAGGTCCTACCACCACTCGGCAATATCCAAGCTGTCTGTGCCATCAGGATCACTGTCAGACTGCAGCTCTGTATGTCTCCTTTTTTGATGTTTTCATACAAATTCTTCTGCTAGTTGGAGTTTAGCCAACTTCTGTATTCTTCATTTCAAGAGCCAGGGGTCCATGATTATCTTCTGTCTGTGTTAATTGGTTCCCCTTTTCTTTGTTGAAGAGGGTCTGTGCAGTCTTTCTGCTTATTCCGCCATCTTCTTAAAACTCTAAGTACTTCTGAGATCACTGCTTTATAAACTTTAATATGCATCTTGGGGATCTAGCTAAAACGCTCATTCTTATTATCTACACTTGAGGTGAAGCCTTAGAATCTACATTTCTTTCAGGTGATGCTAATGCTGTTGGTTCGTTGGCCGCACTTGGAATGCCAACATCATATAGGAAATGATAATTAAAATCCTCTGCCCACTCTCCCTTTCAACTTGGCTTAGCTCCATGCCATCCTTCAGACTTCCTTAAATGTCCATTCTTAGGGATACTTTCTATGATCCTCTAGTCTCGGTTAAAAAAAAAAAAAAAAAAAATCCCAAACTCACTGCTGTTGACTCATTTCTGAATCATAGCGACCCTCATTGGATTTCCAAGGCTGTAAATCTTTGTAGAAGCAAACCACCTTATTTTTCTCCCATGGAATGGCTGGTTAGGTCTCTTTTTGTTGTGTGAGTGGTTTTCCAACTTTAATGACGGTGTGTTGACAGCTTTAAAAGAAAGGAAACTTTAATGAGTCTGATGGAACCTTTCTCCCTTGTTTTTTTGAAGATTAACAGTGGGTCTGGCAGCAGTTATTTTAAGCACAAACTTTTCTTATGAAACTAAGTAGATTCCAAATAATGGTTTTGAAGTGACATCATGAGAGCTTGGCATTTTTTAATACAACATTTAAAAATCTATTGTTTTATTGAGAATGGTCATTTATAAAGTTACAGATCTTGAGTTTAAGGAATAAATTATTAGTCATTTATTTTCAGTAATTTATTCATGTTGTTCTGGTCAGGGTAAGACATTTGCTTAGGCTGAATCAGTTTTAGAAGACAAGTGTATATGTACATAATATCTTTCCAGTAAATCTTGCAGCTATTTCAGTACCTACATGTGTTAATATTTTTATAATTGGCTTACAGATGACAAACACAGATGTCTGTAGTCTGAATTTTCAGGATGTTTTTGAATATATGTTTTACTAGTAACTTAAAGTGCATCATTTCAATTACAGTTGATTAGTTCATTGAGCAGTTTCTGACTTTGGCTTTCTGCCTTTTGCTTTTCTGCTAACTTGCCATTGCTTGTATTAAAAGAACAGTTAGCTTGCATGAGTATAAGAAATTGGATTTACGATATGATCTTGTTCTAACAGGACTTCTTTTTTTTTTTTTTTCCATTTAAAAGTATATGCCTTAATAGTTAGGCACTAATAACTCGTTGCAATAACTAAAAAGTAGAAAAAACCCAAATGCCTGTCAACAGATGAGTAGATAAACAAAATGTGGTGCATAAAAACAATAGAGTTTTATTCAGCCATGAAGTTCTGAGATATGCTATCGTATTGTTGAACCTTGAAAACAGTATGGTGAGTAAAATAAGTTAGACACAGATGAATACATATTTTATTAAGTCACTAATATGAAACACCTGGAATAAGAACATACATGTGTTGTTGTTGTCATGTGCCGTCAAGTCGGACCCGACTTGTAGCAACCCCTCCTTGAGTTTCCGAGGTGGCATCACTAAGGAAGTAGATTGTCCAACCTTCCTTAGAACATATTTAGAGACCAAAATTTATTAGTGGCTACAAGGGTGGGTGGGACAGGGAAAATAGAAGTTATTGCTTAAGGGCACTGAGTTTCTGTTACTAATTGCCATCCAGATGATTCTAACTATTGGCAACCATGTGCGTATCACAAAAGGACTCTGCTCTTTAGAGCTTTTATGGGTGATTTTTAAAAAGTAGATCACCTGGCCTTTCTTCCAGAATTGAACTCTTGATGAAAAGGTATTACGAGTATCATTTTTGAGAATTTAAATTGTGCTTTGATTTCGTTGTTTGATAGAAGAAGGAGATCATGGTAAGAAAGATTATTTTGTATTTTAATTCATTTAGTAAGTAGCTAGAAAATGATTTTAATTCTGAAACCATGGAATGTTTTTATGGAGCAGAATTAGATATGTCTGTTGTATTAGTTTAAGCACTGAGGAACAGTGCTTAAAATGATTGATTAGTGGTGACTCCTTTTGGTAAAAGATAAATTAGCCTTTTTCACTTAGGGCATTTATTGAGCACTGTTCTAGGCTTTGAATATATATGTTGTTGTTGTTGTTGTTGTTATGTGCCGTTGAGTCGGACCCGACTCATAGCGACCCCTCCTTGGGTTTCCGAGGCAGTATCACTACAGAAGTAGATTGTCCCATCTTCCTTCCGAGGAGAGGCTGATGGGTTTGAACCACCAGCCTTCTGGTTAGCAGTCAAGTGCCTTAGGCACTACGCTACCAGAGCTCCCTTGAATATATATAGCAGTGAATAAAAAGACCTTACCTTTATGAGCCTTACTTTCTAATTAATTCTTCTGAACAAATACAGAAGTTCATATAATCAATAACAGTACTAAAACAATATTTTTGATAATTTTATGGCCTTAGAAGTGATTTCTGGTGGTCTGGTAATATAGTTGGTTGACATTTGACTATTGGCCAAAAGGTTCACAGTTCAAATCCACCCAGAAATACCTTGGAAAACAGGCCTGATAATCTGCCTCTGAAAGGTCACAACCTTGAAAACCTTATGGAGCAGTGCTGCTCTGCACCCTTGGGGTTGCCTTGGGTTGGAATTAACTCAATGGCAACTAACATAAACAACAACACAAGTGATTCATTCTAAACACTGAACTAGAACAATTCAGTTTTTCCCATTTCTACTTATCTCTATTTTATTTGGATTCATTTAGTAATGGATACTGTTGTCTTAGACTATTTTTTTTTTTCAAAAAGTCAAACCTTTTATAATGCAGTATTTTAGTGTTTTTCCTTTATGAGTAAATACAAGTATATTCTCTGCTATCTGAATGTATTTTCTGACTTAGACAATATGGAATTTCAAGATGCATTTGAAATTGAGTATAAACATCAAGAATGTGATTATTATTAGTTTTTCTTCGCTTGGCATTATTCTTCCCAAGGGGTCCTATCTTTTTGAGTGATGTGCTTTTTAGACTTTTAATTAAGCTTACAGATTATATATTTAAGTGTTCCAGTTGGTTTATCTGTAAGAATGAATTTGGTATCCACCAAAAGTTTAAATGCATTCCAACAGCTTAATAATGTACAAATAGAGGCAGCTGGTCTTGCACCTGTTCCTTAAGCATACATGAGATGCAATAACTGTCCAGTTGCTAAATAACTGGAGAGAAAATTTAAATGTGATATATTTTTATATATTCATATTTTTATATTCTACAGGGTCATATGATTAGAAATTTCTAACTTATGAAGTATATGCATCCTTTTTGAGTAAACAGTATAGAACTATATACTTTTTCCTTGATCTTGATCTTATCTATGATAAGCCAAAAGTCTGTTTGATTCTAGTATATCCTTAACACTCCTCTAACATTTGCCCATTTCACCTGTATCACTTGTAATACCTAATGAAAAATTTAATAACATCATTTTATTTTCATTGTATTTATTTGTTCTTAAGAGTCTTAAATGATAATGATACTGAGTTTTAATTTATACCAGGAATAAAAAGTTTTGTTTTTTTTTTTTTAATACATGTAATTAAGGAAAGTATTCTGGTTAAAACATGTTAAGAAAATGTTAAATATAGGTGGCACTAGGATATGGTAGAAATCCTGATGGTGATACATAAATGTTTAAGGGCTAGGAAACATTACATGTGATATTTATGTCTAAATTCTTCCTCATTGTGAACAAGTGAGCATATTTTTATGGGTTTTTCCTTTAGTGTAAATTAGTAGAAGTCCCAGAAATTCCATACAACAAATGCATGTGTATGTATTCATGTAATCTCAAATCCAGAGATTATACTCTCACCTACTCAGTTTCTTTACTGTTCAATAGTTATCCTTATATTAAAGACTGTTAACAATTGTCTTTTATTTTATAGTCATTTTTATATAGTGATAGTTTGATCTTTTAAAGAGTTTGTCTCCAAAGGTGCTTTTTTCTTGGTGGTGATAAGAAAACATTATTTTTGATTACAGTGGCAATTTCTTTTTTTCTGTAGCTTGCCCAGTTTCGACAAAGGAAAGCTCAGTCTGATGGGCAGAATCCTTCTAAGAAACAGAAAAAAAAGAGGAAAACCTCAAGCAGTAAACAGGATGTGTCAGCCTATCATGGCATGAATACTGATCAATCACAGACTGATGACATGTACATAAATAGTTCTCAGGAAGTAGGATCAGCCGTGACTGCTGAATCCATAGTGATGAGAACTTTACACACTGGAGAGATAATCAAGCGTGACCAGGTCTTCTCTGTTGAGGTAAGTCTTCATTCAGATTTTTAAACATTATAGGTCTAAATGGACAGTTGTTACAGTGACAAAAAACTCAGCATCCTGTGCAATTCGATCATGATTTTTGTTTCCTTTTGAAAGTTTCAGTAGGAAAATAAACAATGATGCCTAAAATATTCAGCAACCTCTGAAAGGTAGTTTTGTGATCTTAATTCAGCAAGCCTTTAGTGAGCAACTGTGGTATGGTATATACCAAGGATACAAAGATGAATATGACTGTCTCTGCCTTTTGGGAAGATCAGTCTAGTGGGCAAAGCAGATGTAACGATATGTGTTGTACTCTGATTGGAGCTAGGTTTAACAGCATCCCGACTTCTACCCATGAGATGCCAGTAGCACCCTCCCCCCTAGTTGTGACAATCCAAAATGTCTCTAAAACAAACGAACAAAAGTCTGTTGTGATGAGGCTGTTCAGACTCAAAGCTACCCCCTATGTCTCTAGGCATTGCAGGGCACAACATCATTGCTGGTTGAGAAGTACTAGTATGATAAAAAGAAGAATTTTTTTTGCCATAAAAATGTTGTCATTAAGTTCTGAGCTAACTCACGTTTATCAGAGGACTTTTGATACATACATATTATCTTTAGTCTTGTTATTCTCCAGAATTCTCAAATGAGGAAACATTCCATCATAATACCAAAAACAGTCTTCCTCAAGTTATTAAACCTCAAAATTAGGAAAATATATAACAGACATTTTAATTGAATATCTTTCTACTCAAAATTAAAGTTAGACATTTTCTATAATTCCAGTGTATTTTCTGCGATATTGCCTGAGTCTCTGATAACTAGAATAAGGAGCTCTAGTGGTGTAGTTGTTAAGGCATTTGTCTGCTAACCAAAAGGTTGGTGGTTCAAACCCACCAACTGCTCTGCAAAGAAAGATGAGGCAGTCTGCTCCCGTAAAGATATATAGCCTTAGAAACCCAGTGGGGGCCACTGTAAGTCAGAATCGACTCAATGGCAGTGAGTTGAGTTGAGTAATAACCATATAAAGCTGAAACTGAAAACCCTTTCTTCTATAATAAGGATCCCATGTATATCTACAATCAGGAGATCTAATTTAGTTGGCACTATAGCATAATCATAGCTATCACTTCACACTAGAATTTTTTTTCCAGTTTTACCCAATATTAATTGCAAGTCACATTTAGGAAAGTTCTGTAATTTTTAACAAATAAAATAGAAATCAGAGCAGAGTGTGGGATAGTGTTCCTTGTCTCAAAGTTTTCTAGTCGGTATGCAGCAATGTGTCATGGTATGTGGTGGTACTGTGTCACCAGTTCTTGATCTCCTTGGCTTTGAGGGTGGTTGGGCAGATAGTGCCTCAGGTGAGCAGATTTTTGTAGAGCTCCATGCCCCTCTACTATACTGTAAACCAAACCAGTTCCTGGGCTCATAGTGACGCCGTGTGTGTCAGAGTAGAACTGTATTCCACAGGCTTTCAAGTGGGTAATTTTTTTTGTAAATAAATTGCCAGGCTTTTCTTCCTAGGTACCTCTGGGTAGACTTAAACCACTTATCTTTTGGTAAGCAACCAGATGTACTAGAGCTTTAGTTACATTTGTTGAAATTAAGTTAAAGACAATTTTAAAATTCAGAAATACAAGGACTACTGCTTTACTATTGACTGCTGAAAGAACTAACAAATCTTTCCTGGAAGAAGTGTGGCCAGAATGCTCCTTGGAAGTGAGAGTGGCCAGATTTCATCCCACCTACTTTGGTCATGTTATCAGAAGGGACTGTTCTCTGGAGAAGGATATCGTGCTAGGTATAGTGGAGGGTCAATGAAAAAGCAGAAGGCCCTCACCAATGTGGATTGACAGAGTGGCTGCAGTGATGGGGTCAGGGGTAACAAGGATCATGAGGCTGGCGTAGGACTGGGCAGTGTTTCATTCTACTCTATATAAGGTTGCTGTGAGTCAGAGATGACTCGATGGCACCTAACAACAACTGCTTTAAAAAGAATTATTGTTATTGAGGTATAATTTACATGCAGTAAAATTTCACATCCATTTTAACTGTAAAGTTCAATGAATTTGAAATTGTTAATTTATTTTCAGATAAATTGCATCCTTAGCATAAACCAATCAAGTCAGATGCTTAGATGAAATGCGATACAGTGAACAGTGAAAGGAGCACTTTTGGAGTCAGAAAATCTGAATTTGGTTCTTGATTCTTCTTACTAACTTTTGGCTGAGGGAAGCTTGGAAAAGCCACTCACTTAATATCCAGATTCCAGGGATATAAGGATGAAACAAGAATGTCTTTTGAAAGTGCTTTGTAAACTGCAGAGGTGTTGCCAACTTTTTTTCTCCTCCAAGTTGTTAATGGCTTTTCCAGCATTAAAATTTGATGATGATCATTTTTGAAGAAGTTGAACTTTTCTGGCAGTAACATTTTAGGACTTTCTTTTATTAAACATAGGGACAGGCATTAGAAGAATGGTGGCTTATTTACTGCTTTTAGCTTAGGAATGGTCTGTGTAATAAACACAAGATACTGTGACAAAGTGCCTCTTGATACCTTTATATTTGGAAAAATGCCAAGCAATAAATTTTAGATGTATAATTTCACCATTGTGAGTCATAATTGTTAAATGGAAGTTTTTAAAGATTTGAGTAATTTTTACTAGTTTCTGGTAATATTTTATGTGGGTTTTCTATCATGTTACCAAAAGTAATGGCTTAATAAAATGTGATATTTAGCAAAAAGAAAAAGTCATAATTGTAATTGGTTTTTACTTTCTTTTAGCCGGAAAGTGAAATTTCAACCACAGCAGATGATTATAGTTCAGAGGTAAGAATAAATAAAATTATGATTTCAAAGGTTATAAATTAAATTGATACTTTATACTGTTAATTGAAATTATCATCTATTGTTGATACTTTATTTCTTAAAATGCACACGCTTCTGTGTTTTATAAATGTATTAGTATAATGTAATTTAATACAAATGATGAGACAAACCTGAAGATTATCTTTTACTGATAGATCTTTTTTTCAGATTATTAGCTATCTAATACCTTTTTGACCAGTTTACTAGGTAGTTAGGTACAGACCCTGCTTTAGTTCCTAAGATAGTCTTGGATGGTGAGTTCCTAGAATATAAGAGTGTTACAAGGTATCTATGTTAAACAAAGTAAAAAATTCATAATTTAGGATATTTCATTTTGAGTAGTACTTTTTACAGATCCTTGGAATTTAGTTAAAATTACAGTCATTTGTTTATTGAGATTAATTTTGCAATTGTGATATTTATTCTCAGTGATGAAAGCAAATACAGGCATTGACCACTTTAGGAAATACCTTTTTTGGGCCATTATTTGAGGACATGAAAAACTAGAACTTACTCTGAATGGTTCAGCAACTCAGTGTATTCCATCAGTCTCAATTTATTGTAGATTTCTAATAGAAAACAAAATTAATCTCATGTTCTTAAGTGAACATATTATTCTTATGGATTACTAATGGGAGTAAAAACTTTGATATTTTAAAAGTTTAGTATGTTTGAAAGCAGGGAATATAGTTATTAATCACCTGGGGAAATTATAAACCAGTGTTAAATATAAATTGTTGCCTGATTCAGATTACATAAAGTTACCGCTACAGGCAGTAGCTGGATTTAAAATCATAGCTTATGATTCAGAGGGTCTGCCCTTGTCAGTTTTAATTAGGGGCTAATATTTGAAAACAGTGTTTTTCTATAATTTCTTAATTTTTATAGTTTGTTTTTCTCAGTTGATAGTTTAGATGCTTTGGTGCCTGAACTATGTTACCCTATGTCTTTGGGGCACCTCCTGGACTCCACAAAGTAAATTTTTTACTTCACACTGCAGTGATTGCTGTTGGTCAGGTCATGCCATACATAGCCATAAATTTGTTGAAATTTATATAGCCATTTTCTTGCACTGGAGTAACAGACCCAAATTTTATTTTATTTATATTTAAAAAGGAGCCTTGGTGATATAGTGGTTAAGTACTTGGCTGCTAACCAAAAGGTTGGTGGTTTGAACCCACGAGCCACTCTGCAGGAGAAAGATGTGGCTGTCTGCATCCATAAAGATTACAGCCTTGGAAACCCTATGGGGCTGTTCTGCTCTGTCCTACAGGGTCACTATGAATTGCAGTTGACTCAGTGGCAACAGGTTTTATATTTAAAAAGCTAGTGTGACTTCAAAACGTGCTGATTTTCATGTTCTCTTCATATTGAGATTCTTATTACATTAAGACATTCTTTGCCTAAATTTTTTAAGATTAAAAAACTGCTGGTGGGGATTGTAAGATCAAGAAAAATGTATTAAAACCGTATGTATGTGATAACCAGTAAATATGATGGATTTCAAACTAAGTTACAAATATAATTCCTACAGATAAAACTTAGAATAGTGTTTTACATACTTGTTGGCTATGGCTCACAGTAAGAAAGACATTTTGCATAATTATTTGTATGTAAATATTATTATATATGCTTATATTATATATGTTTATATATATTACTATTATGTATGTATAATACATAATTACATATGTATGTATAGCTATGTGCATGAATAATTTCATATATGAATATACATATTTTAAACAAAATTTGATGAAAAGTATCCTTATATGAAATATACTCTCCTGCTTATTTACATGCTAGTCATAAAAACTAAAATGAGTTATTGACAGCTTGAAAAAACTGACTTAGAAGATTATATTGAAAAATATAATATCCTTGCTGAAGAAACATTTCATGTCTGCAATGACATATTTACATGAATTACTTTTATTGATACCCTTTGATCAGGGTTATCAAGAAAGTTGGGAATGCTCCAGGCAACGTAGAGACTTTAGATGGGTAAATATGTTTTGCTGTTGTACAGAAAGATGAAATGATTGTAGGGTATGTACTCTCATTGTACTGATTAGGATTTCATCTGATTATTCAGTACTTCCTTATCAAATCCCTTTTATGATCCATAATATTCGTGAAATGGCTTTGAAGGAATGATCTTCACTAGTTATTTGCATCCAGTACCATGAGTCAGCTAGGCATATTGATCCCGTTATTTTCATTATCAAACTTTTTGTCATCAGATTTTTCTTATTTTTTATTAAAATAACTGTTATTTTTCTGAACATGTATACTACCAAATTAAGTGTAATAAGAAGATAGCAATCATAAGTAATTTTAAGGGTCAGTTATCCTCTTATGCTTTCTTGCCCCCCAATTTTTATTGTGATTTGGGTGAAAGTTTACAGAGCAAATTCATTTTCCATACAGGTTTGTCTCATGATATTGACTGCAGTTTCCCACAATGCGACAGCTCTCTTCCCACTTCTCCCCATAGTTACCTCTTCCCTGTGTCCTTCCCGTCCATGCACTCCTGCTCCCTGAGCTTTCTCCCTGTGCATACACAGCCCTTCTGTTGTCCCATGATCAATCTCTCAAAGGAATCTATCTACCTAATGTAAATGTTCAGCTCATATGCCTGTCTTTTGTTTGGCTGGAAGCCACAGGACTGGGTTCAGTTCCAGATCTGTAGGGCAGCTACTGGCCATAGTCTCAGGGTTCCCGCAGGCTCTGTCACACTAGCAAACTTGGTCCCTTTTTTTTTTTTTATGATCTTGAGTTTTGTTCCACATTGTTCTTCCACTCTATACAGGAGCTCCTACATAGATCCCTCTCTGAGTGGTTGACAGCGGTAGCCAGGCACCATATTGTTCTTCTGGTCTCATAGTCATAAAGGCTAAGGATCACATGGTGTACCAGTCCTTGATTCCCTTCATTCTTCTTTGCTCTGGACGAGGAGAGACCCATTGTTGCATCTAGATGGCTGCTTGCAAGCTTTTAAGATCCCAGTTGCAACTTGCCAAAGTAGGATGTGGAACAGTGTTTTTGTGTAGTATGTTATGCCAGTTGAGCTTGATGTCTGCTGTGACCATGGTTCCGAGCCCACAGGTCCTATCTTATGTTTTTAAACTAATATCTACTAAAGGGAAGAAGAGTATTATGTGAAGGCCATTTTATAGTTATGTAACAGAACTCATTTTTCCATTGATTCTTTCTGAATAGCAGTGTTAATTCTGATATGAATCTTATCTCTATAGAATTATTTTTAAATTTAAAATACTACTTTAAAGACTGAGGTGTGCCTAACCTTGTTGTTGTTGTTGTCAAGTGCTGTCGAGTCGTTTCCAACTCATAGCGACCCCATGCACAGTGGAACGAAACATTGCCCGATCCCGTGCCAGCCCCACAATCCCTGCTATACTTGAGCCCATCATCGTAGCCACCGTGTCAATCCATCTCGTTGAAGGCCTTCCCCTCTTTCGTCGACCCTCCACCCTACCAAGCATGACATCCTTCTCCAGGGAATGGTCCCTTCTGACAACATGACCAAAATAGGTGAGAC